TTCCTGAAGGGAAGCTAGAAGTAATTTTTATTATGATTAAAAAATGTCCCAAGATATTTGTTTTGAGATTATTGTTTTAAGATTAATTTGATATTGATACCTTAAGCTTGTGTACTACAAAAAAGCACACTACTAACAGATATTATATTGTCATTGTCTAAACAGATGTTGTAGTTTCTCCTCCTTCTATTTATCTGGATTATGTCTGTAAAGCAGTCAAGGCAGGCATTAGTGTTTCAGCTCAGAATTGTTACAAAGTGGCCAGTGGAGCTTTCACAGGAGAAATCAGGTATTAAAGAAGAGTGTTAAACCTTGGAGAAGAAATCCTAAGTTCGTAAACTATAAGTCAGCTGTTTGAGTCACCAAATGGTTAACCAATAAAATTGCTTCCTGCAAGCTGACATAGGCTCACATGACCAAAGTGACATTTAGACAGGAGATAGTAAAGTGGCCTGTTGGTGAGTGTACTGGACTGCTGATTGGAAGGTTTTTGTTTAAGCCCTGGCCTTAAACAATACCTCTCTCTATAAAGTGATGTATTTGAGTACCAGTGAATCACCAGGAGAACCCACTAAAAGCTTGGTTAGCCTGTGATGAACTAGTGTTCTATGAGGGGTGATTTGTAACACAGTAGTACCACTAACTCAAAGTCACAAGAGAAGCAGAAAAGAGTTTGAGTTATCAGAGTTGGTGTTGAATTCTAATTGTCCTTTTAATAGTTGATATGAGAAAATTTTAGTAAAAGGGGTTCTAATCCAGGAGAAATTTTATAATATGCTGAATTGCAGTGCATTTTGATTGGTTTTTTATTCAAAATCCATTGGAAAACAAACGTATAGATGATTTCATCATTGACAGTTTTTTGTTTCTTTATTATGTATCACAAATAGATTCTGTGGGTAATAGATCACAAAATATTTCAAAATGTGGTAAGAACATTGGTGAAACAATCTGTGCCTTGTGTGCCACTTTTTTGTTTGTACCACAGATGCACTGCAACATGCAATCTATTTGTTAACTGTTTTGTTTAAGGGAGTTGGATTGAACCCAGTTTAAGTAAGTGGGGTTCTATTTTACTTTTAGTCACTTGATGACTCAGACTTAAGTTTAAGATGGCCAAACAAACTCTTAACCCTTTCACTCCCAGTAGTGACCAAGACAGAATTTCTCCTTAAAATATTAACACAATCTCAAGTGAACAAGTGATGAGAATTTAGAAAAATATCAATTAGAGGACTATCATTTGATTCAATACCAAATTCTATAAACGAAAATTATAAGCAGTGTATGGCAGATAGTGGGGAGAATTACTAAAGAGATCATGGGAGTGAAAGGGTTTACTGTAAATTAAGTCAGTTGACATGTTCAGCTCAGGTCTGAGTCAGCTCTAGCCTCCTTAGTGTTCACTTTTTTAATACACTAAACATCTACCAATAAATCATCATTTGATGATTTTCCTATACTTTATATAAGAACTGGGATAAATTTATTGGCTGTTCATGAGATTACATTACATTTTTCACCTTTCAGGCCTTGACATAGTGAACTGCATACCATACAGTCCTAATAACTGCTATAATTTCATCATTCATAAAGTTTATCATATCAGATATACAATTTGTATAATGTATTGGGGTGGAAAGTACATATTTCATATCTAATGTTTGTAAAAGTAACCAGATATTAAATATCCATTTTAGCCCTGCAATGATCAAAGACATTGGCTGTAACTGGGTGATCATAGGACATTCTGAAAGGAGAAAGATTTTCCAAGAGAGTGATGAGGTGAGAGATAAGGAAATTATCTTTGGTAGTTGTATGGAATGTGCTTGCAGGGAATAATATTTGGTTAAGCACTGCACACTTAATTTCTGGTCTCAAGAGAAACAAGGAGAGTCTCTCTTGATAACTTTTTCCAAGGGAACAAACTCTAGAGTGTGAACATAACTGAACAAACAAACAAGCAGTAATAAAAAAAACAGCTGTTTTGTCCATTTTCCATCAATTACTTCACAAAACTTGCCCATATGTTGCAAAATGTAAAACAGAGCCAACCCAAAACCCTTAAAGAATTTCTGGTTTCCCATTCTGTTTTTGTAATCACAATGATGTTCTTTTCACACAGTTCACAATTTGATGGCCTTGTTGATGCAAACTGAGGGTAGAAAAATAGCATCTTTGCTACCAAGTTTGGTAATTTTCTGATCACATGCACTTCTTAATTTGGTGCATTCTAAACAGGCAACATTTTCTGGTGATGATGTAACAGGCTAAAGTTTAGTAAAAAGCATTTAAACATGATGCAAGAAAACAATGTTGGCATGAACAATAGTTCCAAAAGGATCAAATATTTACAAGCTAACATCTAGTTATTTTTGTGTGTAACTGTGTTTTCTTTAGCTTATTGGCGAGAAGGTTGGTCATGCACTATCAGAAGGATTAAATGTGATAGCCTGTATTGGAGAACTTTTGTTGGAGAGAGAAGCTGGAAAAACCATGGAAGTTGTGTCAAGGCAGCTTAAAGCCATTGCTGGTGTGTGATAATCTAAACTTTTACTGTTACCATTATAATAATACTTCTCTGGGTGACTATCTTACAAAACTTCTGATTGTTTTACTCATCTCTCCTATTTGGAAATTCAATCTAAAGGGTCTGGATAGACTTTAAATTTGAAAGCATGTTTTGAAAGTTCTTCTGTCATCTTTAGTTCTGAATAAGGCAAAGTACAAAGTAATGGTAGAAACCTCCACTTAATCACCAACTTTATCATGTTAATTTAAAACTTTTCTTGTAAATGCATACATAGTTCTGTTACTATTGTTTGTTTTGTCCAATCAGCAATTTGTTACACACTATAAATTCAACTTTGTATTTTGTATTATTCAGAACTGAAGATGACAGAAGAACTGTTGAAACATGTTTTTAAATTTAAAAAGGGTCATTCATTTTCTTGAATTCAATCTGAAGAGAAGAACCTATTCATAGGGTAAAGATAAAGTCCGTGCTCAAGCCAAGTGGTCCACCCAGCTGTAGCTTAACCCGGTTACCATGTTGCATGAAGCAACAAGGAGCATTACTTCCCAGCCCTGGATGGGATACAAGTCCATCACAAGGTCCATTAGGTTTCCCTAACAATCAGCCTGTACCCATTGATACTCTTGGGTGGGGAGAGGCATTGTGAGAGCAAAGTGTTTTGCCCAAAAACACAATGCATCGACCCGGCCAGGTCTCAAACCCAGACCTCTCAACCCGGAGTCTAGTGCACGCACCATTAAACCATAGGGGGGGGGATCCATTCAATTTTTATTTTAGGGAAGTATGGGTACCCAAGTGATAATGCCAAAACCTTAGAGGCCACCTGTCTTTAAAGTTTCTTTGAAATCAAAGAATGGATTGTCAGAAAATGTCTTTGTTATCAAATTGCTTGGCCAGAAAGAGGCTATAAAATTTCCAACTGTTTGTATTCCTGGATAGTAGTTGGCTTTCTCGTGAGAGAAAGAGCATGCCGACAAGATGATCCCTTATTCCAATTTATACTTGCTTTACCACAGATAACGTCTCAGACTGGAATAAAGTGGTTATTGCTTATGAACCAGTTTGGGCCATTGGCACTGGAGTTACGGCCACACCTCAACAGGTGAGGAAATTTTAACCGCCAAGTATGGTGTGAAGGTGAAGGTGAAGGTGAAGGTGGAACTGAACTATGTTCTGTAATTGTGAAGACGTAATAGCTGCTATGTTATACACCTCCTATTACAGGTGTCAGTAATTCTTGGCATTTTTAGTATGGGCTAACTAACGGGCGCTGTGGACGAAAAATTGAAGGTCTGAACAGACCGAATTTTGTGGAACCTTACCTTTTTTTTCACGGGATATTGGTTTAGAATAAGAATTTGTAACTTGATAACTCATAGGCTCAAGAAGTCCATCATCAACTGAGAGGTTGGCTTACTGATAACGTTTCAGCTGCTGTCGCTAGTTCAACTAGAATTATTTATGGAGGTAGGCTTTCTAAATTTTTTATTGAACCGTACACAAAACATGCGAATATTTTCTTGTAAGAAAGACCACGGGAGCAATCCTTCAACTCATAATTGATAAGTTATACTGCAATGATCTTGAGGTTGTCAGTGTTTTTGCTTGGTCAATAGTCTATAAAGCCCTTTGTAACCTATCAGTCCTAAAGCCACGGCTATTTCTACCAGTGCCTTGTAATTCTATGTATGATCCTGTAGAAACAAATGTTTAAATAGTAAGCAGGCGTTTTTGGTCAAATCTGCGAGTTTTCCGTGTTGGACTACATCTCTGAGGTCCTGCGTCTATATGAATAGACGTAGGACCTCAGAGATGTCCAACACGGAAAACTCGTTTGCCGTGTGCAGCAGTGCGCTTGATGTTTGCTCGTACAACATTAGGCTTAATGTTTCTATCTCAAGAGCTATCAATGAAATATGTTAAAACTGTTAATTGAAACGAAACTTTTTTTTTCGATGGAACGAAACTGCTTTGATTTAAAATGAAAGATCCGGAATCGAAACCTCAAAAATGTCGGCGAGTATGGTGTGTGTGTGTTTTGCGCTGAAGAAGATATAGCCTGGTTGCTCAAATGTTTTATTTGTGTCAATATTTGCACAGGTTCCGTGAACGCCAAGAATTGTAAAGAACTGGCTAAGGAAGGTGATGTAGATGGTTTCCTTGTTGGAGGAGCCTCTCTTAAGCCTGAGTTTGTTCAGATCATTAATGCTAGGTTGTGAGAAAACGTAGGTTTAGTTTGTAGAATTTACGCTTGAAGGAATGTGGTGTTAAAACTGAAAATTATAGTCTCTGGGAATAATAAAAATTGAGAGTGTTTCATTTATATCGTGCCAATCAGATATGATTACTTGTCTTGGGGTAAAATTTTCAAATAAATGCAATTTAGGACTTAAAGATAAAGGAACACATCTGCAATTCAAAACTAAATTACAAAGAGCCTAAGCAACGCCATTTTTGAGAACCATAACGACTTGGGTGATTGACATTTTGACTGTTTTTCAAATAGCAAACAGACTTAAAAGTCTATGCTTCCAGCATGAGATGTACCAGTGAAGGTTTTATAAAACACACCAACTTGTACTTTTGAAAAAGTTATTCTGAACATGGCTGATAAGGCAATCATTGTCTGAACCGTTCTCTCTCAGGATTTAAAAGTTAATTCTCCTGACTAAAGAGCAAACATTTCTTTACCTGTGAGTTTTAAGAATTTGTTGTCCTAACAAAATGTGCATCTTTTATTTTATATTTTTCTCAATCCTCATGACCTATCTGCTTGACCTCGTGCCTTAAACATAGGAAGAATTTATGTGCTGATCAGGCATGGAAGTCAACACTGGTTAGTCTCGTGATAAAGATTTCAATTCAAGATTTGAACCACAGCATTTCGTTTTTATCAATTATGCCGCTTTCTACGGAAATTTTTGCAGTTCCAGAAATGCGTGAAACAACCTGAAGGGTTGCCATTTTTTTCCCCTTGGCCTCTTTGTGTTCATTCGCATACTTAATATGCAAATCCGTTCTTTTGTTGTCATTTATTGAATATGCGCCGCGTGGTTATAAAACAAACAAATACAAAGCTTCGAGCAGATCAGCGACTACTCTTCACAGAATCTTTCGCTTAGTCGCCGGTTTAGAATGAAACATGGCTTCGCCAGTGAGTAATATCGACCACATTTTCAGTAAAGAGGCAAACTGTCCTATTTGTTTGGAGGAGTATGTTGAACCAAAGGTTTTACCTTGCCTTCACAACATTTGTAAGAAATGTCTGAAAGAACTGCTACATCACCATACGCTGAGTTTTCGCTGTCCAATCTGTCGTGCTGTTTGTCCGATTCCTGACCGCGGAGTTGATGGTTTTCCAACAAATGATTATTTAGCGCGTTTAATTCGAGATTCGCCAGCCAAGAAAGTTATTCAAGAGATCAGGAAAGCAATGAAAGACTGCAGTGAAAAACTTGTAATCGTGCGGAAAATCTATGAGGAGGCTCGCACCGATATGGAACAACAAGGAGAACTAATCAAGCGCAAGATTCGCGAAGATTTTGAGAATCTCGTCGAAGTTCTGCGAAAGCAAGAAGAAGCCTTGTGCGCTGAAGTCGATAATTTAGTCGAGAAAGAAGAGAAGAAACATCCGGCGTGTTTTCTCACCTTGCAAACAGAGACGTTATTGACTCATATCGAGGGTTCCTTGAAATTACGAGATGCGTTAGACGTAGCAAACGATAAAGAGCATTTGTTAAACAGAATCAGAGATGCAAATGTAGCGTGTACCAAGTTGAGCCATTTGCATTCCGCCGCTGAGACAGAAAAGACGAAAAATTCGTTCGAATTTATGGGAAACAAAGAAGTTCTTCAGTGTGTTAGTGGAAACATGTTTGGAAGTGTAGGCTTGAAGGGACAATTAACATCTTCAAACACGTTAATCAGTTCACCTGACTCGGATGACTTGGGGAGCCTAGAGGTTCTTAAACCTGGCACAAGGTTTCATTCTCTTAATATACCACAGCCCTTGAAACGAAAGTTCCAGCCATTTGCAGTGGCAATAAACGATGAAGGTCATATCGCACTTAGTGATCAAGGAAATCACGCTGTGTTAATATACAGCAAACAAGGAGAATTTGTGGCTTGTGTTGGTAGACGGGGATCAAAAGACGGAAACCTTGAGTCGCCAACTGGTGTAACATTTCTAACCAGGCATTTGATCGCCGTTGCTGATGGGTGTTTGTTTGGTAATCCAGCGCGGATTCAAGTATTTGATAGCTCGGGTAGATTCACACGCTGTCTCGTTAAATTGACTTCTAACTCTCATTGGTTCACGCGCCTCACTACCGTGAATGAAGAGCAAATTTTGGTCACGTGCACACCTGTACTGCAGGGTCACGAGTCATGTATTAAGGTGTTCAACACCAGCGGAGAGGAACTCCTTTGTTTTGGGACAAGCCTCTCAGGAAAACTACTGTATCCTTCAAAAGCTGTTGCACTCAACAACGAGTTTTTCGTGTCAGATGTTGACAAGAAGAACAATCGTTGCATGGTAAGTGTTTTTGACCACGAAGGCAAGTACCTGAGGGCATTTGGTGAATGTATGCTGAAAAAAGATCCAAACGAACGCGCCTTCTATCCGCTTGTGATTGCATTAGATGCAGCAGATAGCAAAGTGCTTGCATACAGTGGGCTGTACAAGCTGGTTCGTTGTTATATGCCTAATGGTTCTTTGGAGTCTTACTACAGTACACTGTCTGGAATCACGGACATGGCTGTTACTGATGATGGCAGAGTGTTTGTGGTTTGTGGAGGAAGTGGTGAATTCCCTCACAGTGTTCAGCTTATATTCCATTACTAAAGACAAGTGTGAAGCGCAAATGATGTTGTTGCTTGTGTAAAGGAATTTACTTCACACATTTCGCCTTTTATTTTCAATTTTTGGTTTTCCTGATAACCTTTTAACATCCTATGCCTTTTGAGTGGTATCTGTGAATACCAAGCGTACACGTACAGAAAAGCGGATAATTTTTTTTTCTATCAAATAAAAACTTGCTCACGAAGAGATTTTAGCAAAAGGGACTAAAGAGCAAGTGTGGTTACGACTTAAACGCATTTTTAACTTGAACCGCTGAAATGATTAGTTTTGATTTGAGTAAACACGAGTGTAAGAAATCCTGCATTTTTTCTTTTTAAGCCTATAAGGTTGCTTATCCATTCAATATTTGGATGTTTAACAAAACTGCATTCTGATCCATCTTCACTTGAGCTATAGGGTTCAACTATAAGTTGATGCTAGGAAAAGTTTCAAGAAGGCTTACGACTAACAGTGGATTTACATTCATTTCATGCAAATCACTCAAAACGATATCTCAAGGTCCACTGAGTGTCTGTAATTGAGGCCTAAGTAGCGTACTTGTTGAATATCCGGCTCTTATGTATGTACGTTTCAGATTCCAGTTACTTTATTAAGTTCGGCAAAAACATTCAGTTAATTTGAAGATATTTTTCAGTTATATTATGAGCTCGAGATTTCTATACTTATGGTGCGATTTTTTATAAGAAGATAGCGAGTGGGTTAGCCAATCGGATTGCAGAATATATGATAGAACGCTTGTAGATTTATACTAAATCAGTTGATGTATTTGACAGGAAGGAACTACATCGACTAGGTTTATTTAAAGGATACTTAGCCTATTTTACAAAAGTTATCTTTAACGGCCACATTTGGAGCGTTTTTTTTTTTAAGATAACCTATCCAAAACAACTTAAGGGAATTTTTATGCAAGGAAAATATTTTATATTTTGACGAATCGCTACAGTAATTGATATTATGTAGGATTCTATTACACATAATTATTTAAAAACGTTCTTTTGCAAATATTTCATACAAGAAAACGTGTGTTTTTAACATTGTAGTATTTACTGTTTATCCTGTATAAAATGTTGAAAAGCTTATTGTCTTACAGTACAATTTACAATGATAATAGGACCGAGTGGGGTTTAATGCGGTCTGTAATCATACGAGTGATAAACGAAATCGGACGACCGCGAAGGGGGAGTCCGATTAGATAATTACGAGAATGATTATCAACAGAATTGGACGACACGAAGTCCGGTTAACAATTAATCAAAACTATGACAAAATTTGAGAAAGAAACCAGACTTAGTTTGTACGTTTTCATAAAAATAAAAACAACAACTCGGCGAAATTCGAAACACCAGCGCGCGTACATGACGTGTTCTGTTCACTTACAGGCATGACGTGTTAACTGTCCTATTACACTGTCTCATCATAACCATTACAATTTCTTCAAATGTGACTGGTGCATGAGCTGCTTCATTTTTCACTAATCATGGTGGAGAGTTGTAATCGGACAGTGTAATTGGACAGTTGGCTGTAATCGGACACCTGTAATTGGATAGTTGAAGCAGCCAATCATACGTAGTCCTTTCATTCAAATCCACCAATCACAGAATTGATCACAATAACCATAGCAACAACAACTTATCCTAAAAAAATTGTGGAGTTTTCAAAGTTGAGGAATTTTTTACGTAGACATTGTCTCTACCGCACTTATTTGTCCTAAATGTATTTTGTTTTCGGAAATTGTGACAGTTATGACTAATTTTGTGTTGCCCAATTCTGTCTGTAATCATACTCATTAATGATAAATCGGACCCCCACTTCGCGGTCGTTCGATTTGTTTATCATTCGTATGACTGCAGACCGAATTGGACTCTACTTGTTCCTATTACCATTATTCATTACAAGCATGACGCGTGCACTGTCCTATTAGTGCTCAAATTGAGCTGGTGATAGCCAAACACGTTCGAGAATCTTGTTATAGTTTTGATGGACAAAATCTCTGCCCAACCACCATTAAAGATGCTTTAAATATCCGATCATTAAATCAGCGCAGTGATCCAGCAATGCAGCTCCAATGGTCCTTAAGGAGCAATCGTGCGACGAGCCGCCATGTTTTGCATGTTGTCGTGTGCTATGTTCGCACCCAGGTTTCGCGCGGTCAAGAAACCCTATGGAGCCTCCTTAAGGTGATTCTTTAATTTGCATCGTCAATTATCTGGCTTCGTGCAGGCTCTTCGCTCTATCTTTTTATCCCTTCCATGAACTTTTTTTCAATTTCTCCAATTTAAAAGGAATAATTTGTACACCAAAATTATGCAGTAAAAATATAGGTCGCCGTGCTTGTTCACGACCATCGTACCTCTTTACTTGGTCCATTTATTGAAAAAAAAAAATACCGCGTTACTCGGAATGCGCGCTCGCTTATTCGCCTGATTACGTTACTTTTGCGCACAGTACAGGATGCACAGTGGATCACCTCAATATGAGCTGTTATAGTCTTAAAAAGGGAAGTCATCAAACGAGCCAAGAAGCCTATTCAACCGAAGCATATCCCTGTTTTTGTAGTTTGAAGAGATGAGAAGTAGTACTTTCTCAGCATAGGATACCTCTCTACTTCAAGATTACTATTTCGAAGGGCTTCAAGAGGACAAATGGGTACTGGCTAACTAGCCAGTACCCATTTGTCTTATTGGGTTAAGAAAGTAGAACCTTATCCTTCTCATAGCATAGGCATAGGATTAAGTTCAGAATTAGGCTTAATTTTAGGACTTGAGGTTAGGGTTAGGGTTAGGGATGGGATTTAGATTTAGGTTTTTGGCTTGAGGTCTTAACCTCAAGCCAAAAACCTAAATCTAAATCCCGTCCCTAACCCTAACCTCAAGCCCTAAAATTAACCTCAAGCCCCTAAAATTAAGCCTAATTCTGAGCTTAATCCTATGCCCAACCCTCACCTAACGTTTAACCTAACCCCACCCTGATTTCTAAAGAAACTCTGGTGCCGTGTCGGTGGGAGAGTATAACAGGATAATTTAGTATCATCAACTGAGTTGATAACGTAAATTGGCCATTGATAACTTTTTTGTAGCACCTCAACAAAAATCCAGCAAATACAGCGCCGAGATAATTTTTCATGAGTAGCGGAGGGGGTAGGGGGGAGCTACTGATAGACAAAATAAATCATGACTGTCGTGAACGATAACAAAATATTTTATTCAAAGTCTTGTTCCTACAATCAATTCATGTCCCTACAAAGCATCTTCTATGTCTTCTAGTGCAATCCTAAGGATGTCAAGCTTGCGATGTACCTACCGAAAAAGGAAAAATGTTAGCTGATATGAAGAGAACACAACGCAACAGTCCAAAGAAATTATCATAATTACAAGCATACAATATGCTGCGTTTGGAACCAATTCTCTGTTTCTTTCGAGATAAGCACGAGCAGAGCATTACTCTGCTTCTCAAAGCTATTTCGCACTAACGCCTGTAGAGTCACCAGTGGCAGATCCAGACCTTGAGCTCTAGATCCGCCATTGGTCATTATCAAACACAATTCAATTCATCAACGTGCATACCTTGCAAGATCTTACGGCTTTCCTGGTGGAAGAAAGTAGTGCAATCCTGGATGTCTGCATTCGCCTCTTAGTCCTCCTTACAGGTCTTGGTGATAAAATGCAATCCTCTTAAACATCCTGTCCCGTCAACATGAGTACTACCCTCCTTTAAACTTCTTTCATATTTTGCTTCTTAATTGTTTGTCTTGTTCCATCTGTGGACCTTCCGTGTACGTTGAAATACAAGGAATACAAGAAATAAAAAAAAGACATTAGAAACAAATGTTATGTACTAAAGTTCTCCTCATTCCAATCTCTGATTACTTTTTGCAGGCTATAAATCAAAGGCCACTGTGGACGTAATACTCCCAACAAGTCAAACAAAAGTCACTACCTTTCTTCATATTTCATTACTGCGAAGGTCGCTTTCATATTCATTTTTATATCGTTCCTTATCGCTTACAGAGAGTGACGTTCCAACTTTCCTATAAGGGGAAGAAAATCAAAATGCGACCAGAAAAACCGAAAGTTACGTATTCAGTGGCTTTAGTAATGGCAATTCTCGCAACTAAGAACGAAAATCGACTGCTGAAAGATTTGCCACAGGCTGATTTTGCACGATTTTTCAATTTTGTAAATTGAAAATTACGTCCATTGGTTTTGTAATGTTTCAACGAATGTTTATTCGGGGATTGTCGTTCCTTTTATTTTCATCCGTTAATAACGTCGACTTTCCTCGTCAGCAAAGGGCTATTGTGCTTATATAATAAACAAAATAATAGACGGTTGCTTGTAGATATGGAATTTCTCTTCTCGTGTTTAACTCGACATCTCACTCGTTCGCTGCGCTCACTCGTGAGCTATCGAGTTGAACACTCGAAAAGAAATTCCATATCTACGCGCGCACTTGAATTATTCTTTATTTATGAACGACGAGTTATTCGGAGGAATACACCTAAAATAGATTGGCTGGCCCATTTTGCCGTTCTCTCTTTCATTATGACCTTTATAAAACCCATTTCCAGGTTGTCTTTAGCCTAAGTGTACCCGTACCCTCCCCTCCCCCCCGCAAGGAGAGGGGAGCAGAAGAAAGGGTACGGCTACACGTAGGCTCGGATGCCTTTGAAATCACGAAATTGATACAGTTTTAATAAACTGGACCATAACAAACTTTTCCTACAGTTTAATAATCCCAGAACACAACGAGGCTTTTGATTCTTAATTTCTATTGGTCTCCTAAGTAACTAGTACACATTACCTACTTTAAATTCACCTGTCAACTGTTCGCTAAATTAAAAAAATATATATATTGGCAACCATTGATTTACTGAGAACAGCTTTATATAACCATCTAGTCGACATCGAAATACTTTGACAAGCATTTCTTGAACGTAACATCAAAAGAAACTCGACCTTTGATTGTCTCGCTCTAGTCCTCTGGTTCCTGTTTTTTAGAGACTCCTTAAAACAGTCGACTTATTATATTTTTATACTAATCAGATCCCCGCATTGGGGTGAAACAAATATGCAGTCGGTAGCTTAGTCTTATCGCAGCCGTTTTCTGTGGTAGATCACACCAATAAGATCGCGCATCAAATGCCTTAGGCATCGTTATATCTTATGTAGCATATACACGCAGGGTGTACAATCTCATGTTGCATACATACAGTCGCATCAATTGGTGTGTATTTAAGCATGTGATAATTTTCATAGTAAATAGTAAATATTCATAGTAAATATTCCTTGTGTTCGTGGTGATGAGTTGTGTCCATTTTGAGACTTCACCTCATCACGTGTCAACTCCTAGTAGCATAGACTAATAAAATACCCTGGGGATATAAAAACTATAACTGTAAAAGGCCACGTCGGGCACACCCCTTACACTCTACTCTAGGCCACCGTTATGACTAGATCTAGCGACTGCCCTCCCACCCCGTGACGAAACCGGGTTTTTAGAGTGCATCCTCCAGACTTTCCGTCTGGTTTGGGCTTTTCCCAAGCCAGGGCGATTCCCCATACCTTATTACCTAACATGAATAAAATACCCAGGGCAGAATACTATATTATGGGTAAAACTTGCGAATGTGTCAAATAAGCATGATATGGATGGTAACTATATCAATAACGTGCGCGTATGAAGCTAAATGAATTTCACGCAAATAACAGATAAAAATGTGACAGACAGTTTTCAACTCGTCTTTCTTGTCTATCAAACGTGGGTTCTTTCCCAAGGGTTAATAAATATAATCAAGGTAGGGTTCCGCTGATGTATCCCCTATTAGGGATGCACGAGAGTACCCAAACTCCTGGGGCCGAAAACGGAAGTCAGGTGGATCACAAGCAAAATAATTACGCAATCCAGACACGAAAACTAAGTCAGTACAAGATTCCTCAAGATTACTTCTATCTTGATATCAGCTTCTTCTTGTATCTTAGAGCCTGTTTACATGGAGGTGGGGGACCCCAGGTAGGTGAGGTAGCCCGCCTAGCCGTAGTCGAAAATTAAAACGCGTTTACATGCAATCTTACAACCCC